TCACAGCGTTGTAAGAAGATGAAAACAACGGTTTCTTGTAAGTAATTGAGCAGCTTGGTGTGCTGGCCAGTCATTCAGAACAGGAAGTCCCCCGGTTTGACATCTCTTGCAGGATGAGTTGGAAGGACAGCTGAGAGAAGGGGAAACTGAAGGCATGGTAAGTGGCTTTCACGCCACCCCCGACCCTGGGTGGCAGGTGTAAATGGAACCCATTTCAAATCTTGCCTAATTTTACATTCTGCTGAAGTCAACTAAAAATGGGCTTCTGACTCAAACCAACCTTGTTCCTGATTCCTACCAAATACCTCCGCTGAAGGAACAGCTTTTAAAAGCTGTATGCCACAAGACTGAGTCATATAAAGTACAAGAAATAATTGAAGTATCAGCGGCAAGCCATGAACCAAGTATTGGCCATTTCAGGGACCTGGCTGACTACAAAATAAAATTTGTGCCTTCCATTAGAGATGGTCTCCAAAACTAAGTCAACAATAGCCACACCAAGCAAACAGAAGAGGCAGTGAATCAGGCTGTGATAGTGGTCTGTCGGATGTGCATCTGTCTCCAGTATCTCATTCTCCTCCTGTGACAGCATTGATTCCAAATTTCAGTCTGCTATTTAACCTAGGGAAGCATCTCCATCAAGACCAATCTTATGTTTAACCAAAATCCATAAGTGTCTTCTTCAGCGGTAGTTAGTGTTAAGGGACTGGGAATCGTGACAATTTAAAAATAGGAGAAAGCAGTATCATATGGAACTGTGCTATAAACCCCTCAATCCCATTCAATAGAATCCCACTGACCTTTCTGCTTGAACTCTACTTTCCCAATATCTCTCAATTCTCTTTGAGAGATCAAAAATTTGTCTATTTCCATCTTAAATGCATTCATTGATGAGGCAAGACTCTGAGGTAGAAAACTCCAAAGGTTAACAAGCTTCAAGTGAAGAAATCTTTCCTTATTTCAGTCTTAAATGATTGATTCCTCATGAAGTTTGCTGGATTTGACCCTGGAGGATGTGGAAGCCTCTTATCATGCCTTCCCCTTCACTCAGCTGTCCTTCCAACTCATCCTGCAAGAGATGTCAAACCCAGAGTCTTCCTGTTCTGACTGACTGGCCAGCACATCAAGCTGCTCAATTTCCTTACAAGTAACTGTGGCTTTCATCTTCTTACAATGCTGCAAGACAATCACACATATAGAAGACCTCTTCTCAGGTCCACCCTCATGTGTCCAACTCTCCCAGTACAATATCAGTTTGTTGTTTAACATATCATTACAGCATTATCACCTCCACCACTCAATTACACTTCCTTTCAAACGGAAGTATTAAATTGCACAAAAAAAAACTGAGAACAGCAGAGACCATTATAGAATCCCTACAGTGTGAAAGCAAGCCATTCAGCCCACTGAGTCACATTGACCCTCTGAATAGCATCCAAACAGACCCATCCCCCTTTTATCTATCTCTTTATCTATAATAAAGTGAGAGCAAGAGATAAAGATAGAGAGATAGGGAGAGATAGGGAGAGATAGGGAGAGATAGGGAGAGAT